AATCTACTGTCATGTTGCATAAAAATACTCTTTATTTTTGCGCAACTTTGACTTTAATATTACGGCAAGCACGCATACATGAAAATCAGTCTCGAAAAATGTGGGTATTAATTTCTTCGTACTGCCAAACTCCAGGTACTGTCAGTACAATTTTTTAAGTTCCAAGTTTACTTACTAATATAAACGATTACCAATGACAAATGATAAGCGTCATCAATTTACAAGTAAAAACTTTGAAAAACCTGTGGTAATTTATTATAATTCGAATTACAACAAATAGAAAAAACATTATACATAAATCACACTGTATTTCGTGTATATCCTGCATATATTGCGAGGTATTTTACTTGCAGAAACTTCCATAGCCTGGTGATAAATATGAAACAATACACGGGAATATAGTATCACAGAATATATCCCCCGTATGTAATACTAAAGTACGATCACTTGTTCGGTAAAAGATTAATAAAGTCAAATAAATTATCCTGTAAAATTTGTAAAAACTTAATCTGAAGAAGCTTGCCCAATTGAAAGGTAAATTGAAACTGTACCATTTACTTGTATGTCGAAAGGCAAACGGACGAAAAGAGGCGAGAAAATGGAATTTCCAGGTCCGGACATCTCCTTCGACCCGATTCGTGACTAATCGCGCGGTCTGCTACCGGAATTTTCGAACACTGACGACCGAGTAATCCGGATACTTTACGGACGGCTATTTTTTCTATTATCCCTTAGTTTCTCCTCCGATGCTCCATCCTCTACCGGACTTTCTCGAACCTCGTGCAGAGAACCGAGAACCGAGAATCGGCTACCGAATTTTTCAATATTCGCCTTTCTACTATGATTTACGAATCCCTCGGACTCCGGAGTCGGCCGCCGCGTGCATCTTCCAGGTCAGTGTGAAACAGGAGAGAAAGAACGTGTCCGTTGACCAACAAGAGTTAAAGTGACAGAGGAAGAGAGAAAGATAGATGGTGGAAAAGCGGTTGAGACAGAGGTAGAGGTTGCGGGGAACAACGAAGAACCTTTGGGAAATACCTCGAGCTCATCGGAGATGGAGGTCCCTCAAGGTGATGACTCTTGTACCAAGGCGTTTTTCCTTTTCCCAGCAACCAAGATTCTCCACGAGGCAAAGGCCACCCTATCGAGGCTTGCCACAACAATTTATCTGTTCACGATGTAGGTTACCGAGACGATGCTTTCAGCAGACCTTTTAGCCTACTGCTTTACTGCCCTACAATAAATCAATTGCTACCGGCTGACCGCCGAATCCGCATGCTAGCCCTTCAAGGATCTTTTCGAAAGTTCATCGACTGGGTGCCAGCAGACTTCCTTGACACCGGCAAAGCAAGTTTTCCGGGTCACCGAGAATCCACCGGTAAGGTAAATGGTTTAAGGCGAACATTGTGGTTACGAAGACTTATTATACATATATTAAAATAATATGTATGGTATAGATTGCCAGCAAAAGTACATTCAATCGATAGAGCAGAACTTCTTCCTTCAGACAAGTCGTTATAATCTATAAGCGTTCATTTGGCCGATTGATTGGACGGAATTTACGGCATGTACGAGTGATTAAATTTAGCTATCCCAGTGTTTGGACATAACATTCAATAAATTATTCATAGCTGATTTTTAATAGTGGAACATAATACTTTTCTTTTATCTTGTTAAAATTCAAATAAAAACGTAACAAATTTCATTTTCTGACCGTACACTGTCCACCAGGTTGGTTTTTTGTAACAGAAAATCCACTCTTATGTTAAAAAAAATAATGAAATGAATGACAAAATGACGTGTCATATGTATATAGTACTTACCTATCCTCTCATTATTTTGGGATACTGAAAATACGTTACGTGGTGTTCACATTTGTGTTATCCGATCTGTCATGCAATAAAAATCCATTTTTCAAAATTATTTAATATATCACTGTTTCACAATATACCTAGTATTATATATGGAACTGTAATCCTGCAGAACCAATTATCAACAAAATTGCTCCTGATTGTCCTGACATTCAGCACTCTATACATAATAGTAAAAATAAACTTAAAAATGGAAAATGTATAAATCAGAAGTAGTGTATAATAATAAATAGTCCGTATTAGTAGTACATAACGAATGTTTACGACTTCAAAACTCACTCTACCTTCAAACGCATACATCGAATGGCAATTACGAAAATAAGAACAGACCACTTTAAATAAATCTAATTTGCACATTCTAAAGAATAAACTATCTGCTACACGTGATGTGTACAATTTATGACAAACGATAAACCATATAATGACCGAATCAACACTGACATCAATCACGTACCAAGAAAGATTAATTGAATTCTGTAAAAATATATAAAAAGACATACTTAATAATATTTAAGCATGTCGTGCTTAAACAACGATACACAACTGTTTATACCTTTATCATAAGTCTTTCGCGATCTCTGTTGTCGATGCAACTTTAAATAGTAACGAATATTAATAATAAGAAAATATAAACATTCATTTCAAACTACCAAAAATTTGCTACTTCGTTAAATTAGATTTTTCATCAGAATTCATGAAATTATTTTAAACATATATTTTCGAATTGTCTTTTCGAGCGGGCGTTTATAAGAACATATACATACTTGCATAAAATATTTTATAAACACCACACTTACATCATCAAATCTACCATGAAATTCAATAAGCTCAAAACAAAATTATATAACTTCCTGAATCTTGATTGAACTGCTTTGTCTTACAGGGTTTCACACATTTCTATACGCCATAAATACATAAAACCTGTAATATAATATAAAAAATAAAATCTTCAAGACAACGTTTTATATATCATTAGGAAAAGATACATAAATAACTCTAAATATACGTATACTTATGTTCAATTACGCTTATATTATATTAATTAATTAATTATGGATAATATACATATAATGTTATAAACAGGACTCAACAAATCGCGGAAAATTGTACTCGCCAGATAAAAGCGGTACTCGCCCGCCCGAAACAGACATAATTTTTAATAATAACATAAATGCTTTACCTTACCCATACATTATCCAAATATAGGCATAATAAGTTTTTAAGAATCAAACTGAGAAACTCTGTAGCTTTTAGTCGCCAGGTGAGAAAACCAGTTGAATCCTGGTTATAAGTATATTTACAATTATGTAATATATAATAAAATTTCAATAAATACAGTCAGTGTGTCTCACAAACTCTGTCCACTTAAATATCTTGGTTATTTAAAAGAATACGAGAAAATGTTACTTACAGAAGTTGTAGGCTTTAAGAAATTACGTAATATGCTATAAATGGTATTCTTCCAACCGAAGGTGTAGAAAAGATCTAGAGGTCACCTTTGTTTTTTTTAAATGGAATGTCCAATTTTTTATGCTCGATTTCAATAGATTGGCATATTCTGAGTATAAAAGTACTAATGTACATTTGTCCTAAAACTTACCGTTGCTGAGATATTTGACTGCTTTCATTCTATTACTTTCATTATGGAAAATCGCTGCAGATGGCTGACATTTCGAACATGCTTCATGAAAACAGTCAACTATCTCAGCAACGCTAAGTTTTAGGACAAATGCACCTTAGTATTTTTATACTCAGAATACGCCAGACTATCAAAATCGAACATAAAAAATTAGACATTCCATTTAAAAAAACCATTGACTTCTAGATCTTCTATACGCCTCCATATGAAAGAATACCATTTATAACATATTATGTAGTTTCTTAAACCCTACAACTTCTGCACGTAATATTTTCTCGTAATCTTTGAAATAACCAAGATATTTACTTAATCTGTACACTTGCACAAATGGGAGCACCTAAATATCTCTCAGGACAAAGATAAACTATTCACCATAAATAGACTGAGAATTGGGCACACGAATTTAAGCCACATACACATTATAACAAAAGGAAACCCAACATGTGCGACAATTGCAACATCCCACTAACAGTGCAACACTTAATTATCGACTGCCCTCTATTTCAAGAACAAAGAAGAAAGCATCACATACCCGAAGACCTTAACACAAGTCTCAACGATAAAGCTTCATCTGAAAACACCTTAGCCTTCCTAAAAGAAATCAATTTTCTACACCGCATCTAGACTCAAAAGTATAAAAATAGCAGTAACGTATATGTAATCAAATATATGTAACGTAGTCTTAAGTCGCTAATGACCCACAAGAGGTTGATGCGACAATAAATAAACAAATTAAAAAAAATTAAAAAAAAAGAAAAGATAAACTATTTCAAGGGGCACATGCCGCATATGCAACGGTGGAAAGAATTTTTTCTCAAGGTCATTTTTTTACAAGACACCAAAGTCGTCGTTACTTTTTTAAGTAGAGTCCTATACGTTTATTCAACATCCTTACAGAACATAAAAAACAAATTCAACTACCAATAATCACACGTTTCAATGATTTAATCTGTAGATATTTGCGCCTGTAGATAATTAAAATTTGCTATGTAAAGACTCACGCGCAGCTAATTTTTACGTTTAAGCGTTTTTCTTCATGAAATTTTAAGTACCCCTAGACGCGAATATCTCAAGATTAAATTATAGTTGCATTTGTGTTTTTATGCTATGTATAAGAATATGAAGAAAAAAAGTATAGGATTCCATAGAAAAAAATTACGACGACCTTAGAATCTCTTTAAAAAATAATTCTAACTATCTGAACTCTTTGCACCGTTACATGTGTCCCTTGAAATGGTTCACGTTCTTCATGAGAAGTTTTTTCATAATAAAAGTAAATAAGATAGATGATTATTTACTTTAATAAATGACCATTCAACTGAGACACCCTGTATGTAATGTTATAATATGTACTATAATATTTATATAAGAAGAATTTATATAAGCTTGAACACAAAAATGATATAATACAAGTATGAGTAGTATTTGTATAAGGAAGTTCTAATAACTGAATTGGCGTATTCCACATTTTCGCGTTGAAAAAACTCGGTTCAGTCGAAGTAACCTCTTTCGTTCATGACTGGTATCATTTTCTTCGCTAGTTTCACCGCGTCCGGATTTCTGAAAACGTCCATTTTAGTCTCACCGCCACAGTTCTTAACCACTTCGGTGAAGTCTTCGATATCCTCCTTGTTAGCCATCATTCGCAAATAAAGCACGACCCCAGCAAAAACCGCGTACACTCTCCTTTTGTGTATCGCTTCTTTCAATTCTTTCATCGTCGGCGGCTTTGTCTTACAACCGATGCTTTTCATTGTTTCTTTCAAGGTGCTTAAATATAATTCCAAAAAGTAGTCATCGTTGTCGTATTTCACAGAGAATTCGGGACATATGTTAAGAAAGTACAACAAATCGATAGCTGGAGAACTATAAACAGACATTTGGTAGTCGACCTGAAAATTTCAAATCGTAAAAATTACGCATTGTAAAACACGAAAGTCTATATTATTACCGCATACAGTTAAAAAATAAAATTTCCCTAATTTTCTGAACCTTTTATGCGAATTTCCTTCATTTAATATTTGTTCACCTCTTCGATATAAAAAACAGTGATAAATGTAGGGAACTCGAAAAATATTATTCAGAATAATAACTATTGTATAAGTTTATTCATTTTGTTCAGTCCAGAACACACGGGACAAAAGTAAAAGTATTCGATCTAATTTTGGAATATCAAAATTTAATAAAAATATTAAACTTTTTGCACTTTATAAAGATAGGTTTTACGTAGTTAATCCTCGGACGGCCATGCATGAGTCATTTATAATAACTAAATTTTATACATTTATACATAACTACATTTTATAATAACAAAATTATTTGTGTCTAATCTATAGGTGTTGTTGATTATATAGGACTTGTTTGTTATAGATACACTTTACATAAACCGTCTAGTTGCGGAAAAGATTAACCTCCAAAAAATTATCAAGGAAATTCACTTTAAATACAAAAAGAGTTCAGCACCAGTTCAGTACTTTGGCACTAAAATTTGAAAAAGCTCAACAAATGACGTTAGCTACTTTGGCTGATGAACAGCTTATATTTTGTTACTTATTTATATTAAAAATAATTTATACTGTTCAAAACATCAATTATTCTAGGCGAAAGAAATTACGTTTCGAAGTGATCGAAAAAGAAAAAAATATTCGTACACAGTCTGAGACTTACAAGGAGAGAACTCCAAATGTATAATATATATCTTCTCTCTTAAAGTATAAACTATGCACAAACAAACCCTAGTGGGGTTTCGCCACATAGGCCTTTGTTATTGAGAAAATTAACAATAAACATTTTGTAAAAGTATACGTTATAGGTACATATAATGTAAAAATATAATATATATTACCAGGCGCACATCGACAGATTTTCCCTGCTCAGTGTCTTTAAACATAACGTTATTAATCCAACAGTCTCCGTGATTTAACACGCAGAATTCATCGGAATCATATTTATAGACGTTAATACATTTCGTTCCAATAGATTCTGCCAGTTTAATTATCTTGGGAGCCGCTTTAGCACAGGATTCAACATCCGTCCAATTTTTCAACTGGTCACCTATCCGCAAGAGGCTTACTTGCATCATTCGGAAGCAATTTTGTGGACATTTCTTTGACACAATGCCACCGTTTTCGAACGATTCCAGGATTCCAGGATTCTACAAAATTCATCGAAGTTATCGTTATTGTCGCAACATGAATGGTTCAAGTGTAATGAAAAAAGTATGGCTGTATGGTCGTATTGTGGAAGACTCGCTGGAAAGATCGACATATAATTAAAGAATGCATGGCGTAGCTAAAACTTGTATTAGAGCGTTTCAATAGTAGCAGGGCCGTTCAGCGACAGTCGAACCCCTGCGCTTGCCGCCTTTGAGTACCACTGCTAGCGTCGCAGATTTTACGAAACTATTGGAAGGAAACTATTTCGCTTCTGTATTGAACACAAAATATGTCTTACCATTTCTGTGATTGCTTTCCGCAAAAAAAAAAATGTTGACGGTATCTGCTGACGCAGTCAGATTATGTCCTGCACCCTTACTTTTTGAAATAAATTGAAAAATATCTGTAAAAATTGGTGCATTTCGGGTGTCCTTTTCCCTTTGATCGTTATTTAAATATGTTTAAATGTTGATAATGCGATAACAACGTATACCATTTTATTCGGGAGAGTTTACAGAATAATTTGACGCAACAATCAACTGAATAACTATAATTAATGTTTGAACACAGGAAATATTCAAAGTTGAAAATTTGCATTTTTTTTTTAAATCAAATTTCTCAGAAACTGAGGGTGATGGCAAAAAACTGTTTACGGACTCGTATTCAGCACAAAAAAAACTATAAGTATCAGCATAAATGTTCTTTGGGACAAAAATCATGTTGACCAGTGTTATTAGAGCCACAATACGAAAAATATGTTTTTTGTGTTTGTGTAGAAATATAATTACAATATCAAGGTTTTTACACTGCATAATTTTTAATTCACAATTGTCCACAAAGAAATACACAAAAAATTAATTATAGAAAATACAGTTAACATCGTGACATCGTCAATTATACAGTTGGGTCTAGTAATTTGATCACCCACAGTATGTACACCCACGAGCAAACTCGGCTTTCACTGGAAGAGAAAGCAATGTAGGGGTTAGGGCCTCCTACTACTTGGTAAATTTATTTCAAATACTGAGATAAATGTTAAACCGAATATTAATTTCGCATAAGTTTCAATAATTCAGGGACCAAGTGGTAGGAGGTCTTTCCCTTATATCACTTTTTCCCGTAGCGGTAGCCGAGTTTGCTCGTGGGTGTACCAGTGTAGTATCGTATGCTTAATGCTTACCCTCTCGTGAACAGCAACGGAACCTGCATGAAATTTCGCGATGGTCTGTATAACTAAGCAACATTGTTCAAAGCTCAATGCTTTCTGGCGACATTTCATGACAAATCCTTGCTTGTTTAAATCTTCCATAATAAAAACATAAGGATTGTCGCAGCTATACCATAAACATGGTCCTATTGGATGATCGACCAGATCTGCTATCTTCGGTAAAACATCGCGTAAAACTTTCAATTCAATTTGAAAAAGATCCTGCTGTTGAACTATCTCCCGTGCAAATTCTTTGAACGGTTCCAATTTAATAATTAAATCCGTCGAACGTTCCAGTTTCGAGTGTTCATTTTTGGACGCTACCCGGTACTTTACAGAAACTTTGAAGAGATCGCTTAAAAAATTGAATCCTCGGGCTGAGATGCAACGACTCGTAATGTTCAGTATTTTTATTGTACCAGTCGATAATTGCTGTTGCACTGCCTCCTCCAACATATGTTGCTCGATCCTCAAACTTTTCACTTCCATTCTGTAAAACCGTAATTGTTGAACATTTAGAATAAAGACAAGCTACTCGAAGACCAACAGCTTATTACGGAAACGACTAAACTTTCTCCCAGTTTATGCGACTGACAATCCAAAAAAAAAAGCAATTAAACATATGGATATACAATATACGTACACATATTTACTGCCATAATCAATTTCTATTTTTATAACCAAAGATAATGCATATCTTTTTCGCATACGTTCTACAAAACGTTAATGCTATACATTGTTTACAGGGAACATTTTTGTAACATGTGTACATGGTTTTAAAAGTAAAAACCACTACATGACTTTCAAAATTAAAATTTATATTAGATGTACATAATAACACCAGTAATAAACGCTAATAAGGATTTCTTTGTGTCCTTTTGAATTTACAATTAACTATTAATCTTGACTTGTTTAGAATTATTACAAAAACCTAAATTGTATTATTCCAAAATAACTAATACGTACACATTTAAATAAAAGAATATAACCCAACGCAGGGACAATTTCGAAATGTCCTTCAAGAAAAAGTATCAGAAATATTTTCAGAGTTTGTATAATACTTTTTCGGAATGAAAATATTATATGTTCATTACATAATTCATAGAATTGTACGCAGTAATAAGTAATACACTATTTCCCTCTCAAATCCATAACTAAATTTCCAAAAAATAAAACATACATGATCTCTTAATAATAATCCAACAACCATTTGTGTCAAATATAAAGGCAGAACTATGTGTTATATTAAAATTATGTTACCATCACGATAGAAAAAGAATACATTACTCAATGGTACACCGAATAAGAACCATCAATATTATACAAAAGATTGGTGCATTAATTTATTTATAGAAGACATATTTAAATAAATTGTATGTAGATTAACTCAACTTAAAAAAGCATCAAACAATTGACTCATCAAAGCGGCAAACGCACAAATAAAAGGAGCAATTAGTGATAAGTTATCTCTGATAAACATGCTTAATTGTAATTGATCGACGTTATTCTTGTAAATGAGCGCATATCAACCATTGATACTCCGTCTATTTGTATTATGCATTTTACTTCGCTCACTTTTTTCCATGTAACATTCATTTTTTACCGTGTTTCTTTTTCATAATAAATGGAAGTTTGTGTTACTTTATTGTTATTTATATTTACTATTAACCCCCTTTCAATGTCCCATCACTTCAATGTTTATATGATAGTATTTTACAGTTCTAAAGTAAGAATATTCTCACAAAGGAAGGCATGGAAGTGTCCCCCTCCGATTTTGATGAAGCTTCGTATGTCTGTTAAGCAGTCAAAAATAAGGAGTACGTATTTCTTTTTATCGGCTGAGGCGCGATTTTAAGTGGTGTAACGTGTAACCACCCCTCGAAGTTTCAACCCGAAAGTACTACCTACCTATCTCGAAAACCAGAGGAGTTAAATGAAAACTTCTAATGGGCGAGGTTTGCGATTTTTTTATGTAGAATATTGTACTAACAAGTTGTCCAAAATATAATTTGTTTATAACAAAAAAATTTCGGATCGAAACTTCGAGGGGTGGTTTCCCCCCTTAAAGTCGTGTCTTAGCCGATAAAAAGCAATACGTACTCTTTATTTTTGACTGCTTAACTGACATACGAAGCTTCATCAAAATCGGAGGGGGACACTTCCGTGCCTTCCCTTGTCAATAAATTTCCTATTAATGCGTGTTATCGGAAACTTTTTGCGGTCAAACTGAAGAAAAGCTGCCTACCCTCCAATTTCGACAATTTTTGGACATGTTGTAAAAGTCGACATTTTGAACAACTTTTTCCTATACATATAACGGGGGAGTTACTTAGTTTCCGAGATATACGCGACAAACTGCCGGTACTAGCACACTGAATTTATTTCACTGCAACAGAGTTGAACAGAGTAACGATTCATTCTTAAGGGGACTTTCCCATTCAAAAATGAAAAAAAAGACACTTTTTTAATATTTCTTTATAAAAAAACTATTATATTTAGAAACATAATTCCTTTTGGACGCTATTATATATATTATTAAGAACAAAAAGAAATTTTTTCTAGCACTTTTAGTTCACCACGACCACTGTAGAGGGCGTCTTCCAAAAAGTCACGTTTTAATCGGTGCGACACTTTGCAGACGTCCTGTAAAAAATTAAGTAAAAATTCAAACGGGATTCTATTCGTGACACTTAAAACTAGACAATAAACCTCTAAAAGTTCATAAAACTACCCCCCCCTTTTTTTATACAGGGGTGAATTGCCCCCAAAAAAGAGTGATTTTTCGAATTTTTCGGAAAAATATGTATAAAACGATAAAAAATACAAAAAATAAAATATTTTAGAGGTTTATTGTCTAGTTTTAAGTCTCACGAATAGAATCCCGTTTGAATTTTTACTTAATTTTTTACAGGACGTCTGCAAAGTGTCGCACCGATTAAAACGTGGCTTTTTGGAAGACGCCCTCTACAGCGGTCGTGGTGAACTAAAAGTGCTAGGAAAAAATTTCTTTATGTCCTTAATAATATATATAATAGCGTCCAAAAAGAATTATGTTTCTAAATATAATAGTTTTTTTATAAAGAAATATTAAAAAGGTGTCTTTTTTTTCAATTTTGAATGGGAAAGTCCCCTTAACAGAGTTATTAATTATGAATGGACGTTTAGTTTCATAGAATTACAAAGCAATTAGTATAATGCTTCAGAGTTGGTTAGAGACAGTTCAAGAAAAAAAAGTAATTCAAAGTTGGTTAAAGACAGTTATTTTTTTCCTGAACTGTTTCTAACCAACTCTGACGAGTATAATGATTCAGAGTTGATTAGAAACAGTTATTTTTTTCTTGATCTGTGTCTAATCAACTTTGAAGCATTATACTAATCGATTTGCAATTCTATGAAACTAAACGTCCGTTTACGTTAATACCTCTGTTAAGTAAAAACGAATCGTTACTCTGTATCAGTCAAATAAACGAAAGCTAAGGTTAAGCTAAACGAAGCTAATTCAATGCGCTAATACCGGCAATTTGTCGCGAATATCTCGGAAACTATGCAACTCCCCCCGTTATATGTATGGAAAAAAGTTGTTCAAAGTGTCGAGTTTTACGACATATTCAAAAGTCATCCAAATCGGAGGGTAGGTAGCTTTTCTACATTACGTTATATTATCATCGTTCAAGTATCTGAAAAATCCGATCAAGGTTTCACTCTACGTGTTATTACATTGTATGTATATGTACTATACAATATACACCCTTACATATATTGTTGTCCTATTGCTTTTTCATACCCTAATACTTGTAAATTATATCCGTATATGTTCTACTACACACCCGCAGCCTGTCACTCGTTATTCAATGTCTTTATATAAATTGAATAAATAAAACGTCCTACACAAAATAACACAACACATAAACTTGGTTACGAATCACTTTTTATGTTTCTACCTGGACAACTTTTCCCGTAATAACACAAAACTACACAACTGTTTACGACAGTCAGATGACATGGAATACGTGAAGTGTGCATTAAAAGTCGAGATACCTTTATCCCTACTTCTTGATTACTGATACACAAGTATTACGTACCCAAAGCTCGATTTACGCATCACTTTTAAATGATAATATGATCATCCGTCTTTTTTTATGTCGCGTCAATGGAAGGTGTGCATCAGCGTTCTGATAACCTTGGAAACAGCAAACACAGCTTTTTGCGATGCGAATGTGTCGGAGAGAATGACGATAGAGTGACTGCACTTGTAAGCACATAGTACCATGTCTCGTGGCTCTTGTGTCGCTAATTCACAGCCGTATATGTATTATTCAATTTGCTCTATGTAAAAAGTTAAATACAAAAATTGTTTTCAGGGCTGTACATACTACAGTACCTGGAACCCTGTCGTTACGTCTGGTCTTAAGGGGGTACTCTACTGTGACATGTTATTTTTTAAAACTTTCATCAGAAATTTTTATTAATTACTTAATGAAAGATTTTCATGCTGAATATTTCTCTTGTATATGTATTATATCTTAAATTATAAATACAAATTTGGTTTACTTGTAAATATGAAATAAAAATCGCGCTGCAACCCATGAAAGTGGATCATCTCAAAAAATATTGCTCGATTGGTTACCATGATTCTGGTTGTTCTGTTCATCTGAAATAAAAAAATTTTTTAAATTCTTAAATTACACTGTTCAACAAATTTGAACTTTTTTTCGTTTTTATAACCTCTAATAAGCATGTCTAATAGACCTTCATGAGCTGAATACAAATCTGCAAACAGTTTCTTTTCAGCACGCCCAGTTTTTGAAAATATCAATTAAAAAGAAAATTGCAAATTTTCAACTTTGGAACTGTGTGTGCTTTTACAGTAATAGTTATGCAATTTCTTTGACTCTAGACTCTTCCAAACAAAATGATATAAATTGTTATTATATTATAAACATCTAAATATGTTAAAATAATGTTTAAAGTGAAAAGGACACCGAAAACGCACCAGTTTTTGCTGATATTCTTTAATTTATTTCGAAAACTAAAAGTCTTGGAGAAAATCAAACCATAGCACGCGATAGAGCAGACCTTTCTGCTCAATAAAGTGTCAAGGAAAGTTACAAAATCTGTTTTGTTTTAAACAGAGAAGCGAAATGGTTCAGCAAAACACACGGCTGCGACGGTGGTACTCAATGATGGCGGTCGCCTTGCCTGCCGTTCAGCGTAACGGAAGCACTAGACGCGCATAGCCCCCACTGTCGGCGCCGCGTGTTTTGTTGAACTATTTCGCTTCTCTGTTTAAAACAAAACAGATTTTGTAACTTTCCTTGACACTTTACTGAGCAGAAAGGTCTGCTCTATCACGTGCTATGGTTAGATTTTCTCCAAGACTTTTATTTTTCGAAATAAATTAAAGAAGATCAGTAAAAACTGGTGCGTTTTCGGTATCCTTTTCACTTTAAACATTATTTAAACATATTTAGATGTCTATAATATAATAATAATTTATGTTATTTTGTTCGGAAGAGTCCAGAGAATTATTTCGTGTCAAAAGAAACTGAATAACTTCTTTTACTGTAAAAACACAACACTGTTCCAAAGTTAAAAATTTGCAATTTTCTTTTCAATTGATTTTTTCAAACACTGGACGTGCTAGCAAGAAACGATTCGCAGATTCGTATTCAGCTCATAAAGGTCTGTCAGAAACGCTTATTAAAAAGTGCAACAATTTTTAGGTGTTGAACAGTGAATTATTGGGGCATGACTGTCGAGGGTACCAGGTTTGGGTTGAAGTGTTCCAAATTTTAAAAATGGCTGCAATTTGAAAATTGAATGATTTGAAAAATCTGATGAAAATCATATCAAACAGATCAGACTTCAATAAGAGACGACAGAATTTGCCCTTTTTTGCCACGTCGGGAGATGTCGCATATTCTTCTTTTTGTTAATAGTGTAGTTATAAATTAATTAACAAACAATATAATTCAGAAATTTGGCTTTTTTCGGCTGTAACAATGCTTCGCTTAGTTTAGATATTTTAATGTTGATGCATATACAACAACATTTTCAGCTTTTTTTATATTGTTTTACATTGAGCTCGAGTGATTAGGAAATACGGACACGGGGTAATCCCAAACACGGTGATATTCGCTTGTTCCACACACTATCTACGCGTCGTGGTTGTTTTTCCCGGAAAAAACATGACACAAAGAAAGGGGGAATAGGAAATATCGCTATGTTCGAGATTGCTCTCTTAGTGTTCTCTAATTTATTGAAAATATAACACCTCAGGTATTTATTTCATGTTTTTGTGATTTCAAGCCACTGTGCGACGTAAAGAATCAAAACTTCGTGAACTTATAAGGAAATCTATCTACTAATTAATTCTAATCGATGATATCGACGTTGTTGCAAAAAAAAAACGTTTAATCCAGAAAAACGTAGCTCCCGAGGAGGTACCGAGAGAATAAAGGCGAAACCACGGTGAGGTCAAATCAGAGAGGTCTCACAAATCATTCAAGGACGTGAAATTTTCCGAACGCTATGACGGTTCGGCACCCATCGTATAACTTTTATAGGGGGGCCACAAAGCGGCTACCGTACCTCTCATCTCGCCATCGCTTTTCCTTTTTTTTTCTCATCTCTATCCCTCTCTTCTCCATTTTCTGAGACTTCCTCCAAATTTTCGGGAACGTAAAAACTTTTACGACACATGCGGTAAGCCAAGAATCGTTTCGCTACTCACCGCAGCACGGCGGACTGGAACGCTTTTTCGATGGGCATCCCGAGAAAATTCAAAAACCTTCGCCGGGGATAATAAATCATCTTCGACCTTTTTTCGGTACTTTGTTTTTACTTTTATGGTCGCCCTTGCTTTATTCAAGCAACCACTAGTCGGTTGTGATGTCGAATTGAAACCCAACTCTCTGGTTTTACATCAAAAGAGTTTTACGTTTCTTTTCCTGCACTTTTTTTTTTTTGCTAGTAACTAGAAATATGTGTATTTGCATTGAAAACTAATCAAGCGTAGGGCACAAACATTCATTCTTGTGTACAAATATTAGATACGATGAAATATGACGTTATAAACGAAAGAAGATTTGAACCGGTCATGCTGATCAAAGGAATATAAAGCAATTTTTTATGCACTTAGCATGTTAAACTTCAATAGATGTGATAATTAAAATATTGAGGTAAATACAATACAATATTTAAACGTGGCGATTATATGTTTATGAGGAATATAACTGAGGTAAAGTAAAAAATGCTAATAGTGCAATGTCGACGAATAAAGTCACATAAACAGTGTTATTCCACATTATGGTCTTTATCGCGTCTACAAAAGACACGGGATAACACAATATTAACGAGTATGTACATATTCATTTAGTCTCATAATAAAAAATTTTTTTGCAAAATACTATTGTATAACGTAAATCGTAAAGACAAGAACAAAAGTAGGAATTTCTTTCCTGCTTCAAGTATCTTATTGGTTTACGAATAAAGTAGAGAGCTCGTTGCATCCGATAAAAGTTTTCTCTTTTGTTGTATTTTACAAAGTCCTACAATGTATAAAATTTACAGTCTAAGTAATTATAAGCTACAGAAATAACACAACTTTGAATGCTTGAATAAATTACTTTTATATTTACAATTATATTACATATTCTCGTTCTTACATTAGGCGTACCATTGTTTTCGCAGACTTTTCTCATGACCATAAAATATTCACTTTTCTCATAAATTTTTTCATTTCTCCGTTCGTATAATTATTATTAATATGATTATCATTAGTAGTATATTTTGTTTATATAATTATTAATAATAATCTATTATGAACAATCTATCGCTTCAGTATGAAACTATTTTCATACCTGCTGATAGAAAGCGCGAAAAACACACGAAAATTGCTGTTTAACTTCAATTCGGAAACTTTTCGGACAAACTGTGTAGATTTGTATATCCCGATATATATATGTACATAATTCGCAAATTCAATGTATCCAACAACGGTTCCATAATTATCGAGACGTCTCACAGTGTTTTACAAAAAAGCCATCTGATCTGGAAAAACTATATTTCATCTTAAACGTATGTATATAAATCATCCAGAACAAGTAAGATCAATAAAAATTACGACTTTTTAAATTTATTTTCTTTATAAATTCGAAATATTTAACACTAAAACAGACTTATTTAGCTAAAAAACAAAGATTCAGAAATTGTGCTATAAGTATTTTATTTATAATTGTCATTTCAGTTTCACATGAAATTATGCTTTAAATATACCTACCTTACTCGCTATACGAAACACTTTGAATTATTATATTGTGATTGTACCTAAATTAACCAGATTTATCGGAAGAATTATTAGTAGTATCACTAACAATATAAGTGAACCAATTACTTTGTAACTCTACATTTCTTAGTAAAACTAATGCATACATCTCCTGGAAATTGTCCAATTTTTTTCTTTTGAAGACACTATTTAGAAGCATGTGTACCTACCAAATCCTCCATAGATTCTTTTGGTCAAATTTAAATTACAAAAAAATTACAAAAACTAACACATGATTTTCACAAAAAAACCAAAGAACTGAACCCGAAGTACAAGATAATGACAATGGGTTGACCAATCCGAACCAACCTATATCGTTTAACTCAAAAAATTGAGACACATGCAGTTAAAAATTAGTTATATATGTACGTTCGAGAGAGTCTATTCTGAAATGTCATCAAATTCTTTTGATCTTTCTATTGCAAAACTATACTATGCACTTTCCTGTACACAACAAACGACCCGTAACGGAGAAGAAGAAACATCAACCGTCGAATGGTATTCTCGAAGACTGTCGAGATTACAGATTTCCGTGTACCTATAACCGAGTTTAAACAATTTTCATGGATAAATAACATTTTAATTAAGGATCCTTAGGGATTCAGGATGTTACAGAAACTGAGAATCAACTAGGAGAGACCAGGGACAAACGTAACAAGTTTTAAGTTC